GGCATATCTGATGCAGGAGTTGGTATAATAGGAAGTCAGAGAGGTGGGAGGGGCCAGATCACAGAGGACCCTGTAAGAACATGCTAAGGGGCTTAGATTTTATACTATGTAAAAAAGAAAACCAGCGGAGGCTTTTGAGTAAAGAAGTTACATGTCATTTAAAAGACCACTCTGCTTACTATGAGATTGAACTACAAGGAACTAAAGAGGAAGCAAGGAGAGACAAAGTTATGACAGTATCCAAGTAAGAAATAACAGTGGTTTGGAATAGGTAATAGCGGCGAGATGGACAGAAGCAGGTGGATTCAGGTTATATTTTGGTGTTAGAGCCAAAGAACTTGCCGATGGAACGGGAACTGAGGGAGAGGGAGGAAGCAGTGAGGGATTCTAGCTTTTGGGCTCACACAACTGGACTGGACAGTGGAGCAATGATGAGAAGACTGTGATTAGACGACTGCAAGAAAAGGAGGCTGCCTGTTCAACATCAGATCGGAAAAGTCAGGTAGGTAGCTGCACATACGTTCGGAGCTCAGAGAAGTCAGGACTGGAGATATACATTTGGGAGTCATTAACATACTGTTTGAATTTAAAGCCAGTGGACTAAAGTCACTGGAGGAGAGATTATAAATTTATAAAGAGCAAAAAAAATGTCTAGGATTGAGTCCAGAGGCACTTGATTGAGAAGCAACCACCAGTGAGAAAGGAGAGTGTGGTGTCCTAGAGCCAAGAGAATAAAAGGGTGTAAAAAGAGTCGTGTTAAAAGGTTAAGTAAGGTAAGAATAGAGAAGTGGCCATCAGTTTTAAAGGTCGCACGTGATCTTGACAAGAGCAGTTTCAGGGTGTGGTGGGGATAAAGGCCTGACAGGAGTGGCTGAAGGAAAGAATGGGACTTAAGGACAGTAAGAATGTATGTAGATAAGGCTTTTGAAAACTTTTGCTGTGAAGGGAAGCAAGGAAATGGGGTGGCAGCTGGAAGGGTCCATGGAATCTTTACAACAGGATATAATAAAGCATAGTGTCAAAAATTATTTTTAAGGTGGGAAACATTTTTTTTGTTATTTTTTTTTGCTGAGGAAGATTAGTCCTGAGCTAAGATCTGTTGCCAATCTTCATCTTTTTTTGCTTGAGGAAGATTAGCCCTGGGCTAACATCTGCGCCAGTCTTCCTCCACTTTATATGTGGGTCACTGGCACAAGACAGCCGATGAGTGGTATAGGTCCACGCCTGGGATCCGAACCCATGAACCCAGGCCGCAGAAGTGGAGCTCGTCAAATTCAACCACTATGCCACAGGGCCGGCCCCAGGAAACATTTTTACTCCCATTCTCACATGAAAAAGTAAAGTTCAGAAAAGCTAAGAAACGGGCTTAACTTGCTTAAGGTCACAGAGCTAGACAGTGACTGAGTCTAGATTCAAATTTAGGTCTGATTCCAGAGCTTATGATCTTTCCACATTTCTCTCTGCCTCTGATTTATAGGATAATTAAGAACTAGAAAAATATAAGTCATGTTTTCTGGTGAAATTATAAAAAGAATAACACTAATATCCTCATATATTAATACAGTAAAGAGGAACAGGGTGAAACCAGCAGGTTATGACAGATACCCTGGTTTTGCTAACTAGGAACTACCTAATTCGGTTTCATCACAGTAGAATGATGCATGGCAAATTCACGCCAGTACGCTTAATATTAAAGAGTGGAAATTTATGACTGCTCTATAGATGCTCCTTTACCTACCTTGCTTTTTTTGAGGTCAAAGCTTTATTTTCGTTCAGCTTTCTTCCACCACTTTCTATATCAAAATACAATGTATTTTAGTAGGCTATTTCCACACATTTCACACATAATATATGCATATAACATTTATCAATTAGTTAAAAATGTAATTTTTTGACCTCCTACCAATAGACCAGCCTATATCAAAATTATCAAAGATCCTATTTAGCAGCCAGGTTCTTAAAACACTACTTAAGAAGAAAAGAATTATTTATTAGGAAAACAATAAAAAAATTGGATAAAATGCAATCATGTTATTTCCCAGACTCAAAGTAGGACTTTAGGAATGGATCTACATTTAATCTATCTAATGAAAATCTGGAGGTCACTACTTTGGTGCCATACACCTTGAAAAAGTATTTTTTTTCCTTCCCTTTGAAAACATCTTCACTGTATTTAATGATTATGAAGGTGAAAACATTTAAACAATTTCTTCAAGAATATAAAAATCAGGTGAGAAGAGGGGGAATTAAATACCAACTCCAATTAAGCTGAATCAAATTAATTACTATGATATACTCATTGCTTGAAAATCATTTAATTACTTTGCTGTCTCCCATCTACCAAATTAGGAACCCCAACATGTAACTGAGAGAACTAAACAGAAGATACTAAATTGTTGGGGGAATCCAGTATTCTTTAATGCTTAATAGATGAAATAGTTTGTACATATAACAACGTTTCATTTTACAAATAACATAAAAGCTAAAACATTTTCCCAAGAAGTATTTGATTCAATTTCTGTGTTCCAAAAGGAAAAAATACCTGTGGTATTCCTTGCACCATCTTTCCAGGTATCTGGAGTGATAACAGTACCAAGTTTCTTTTCACCTGTTACAATAAGACAGTAAAAGCAAAGGGAATTAGTATTTACTGTCTAATAAATACACTACATTGTGCTTAAAATTCACAATGGTAGCAGCAATCACATTACAGTAGGAGCCTGTTAACGCTGGGGTCAGGGCCAGTGAACCGAGACTTAAGATTAACTGTGGGCAATGGATGACTGACTCAGGAAAATTTGTAGGATAACAGTATGGTTTATAATAGGCTTCCATGTACATGCATACTTTAAACAAATCTGATAAATCTATTCATTCCATAAATATTTACTAAGCATCTATGATCTATAAACCATTGTGCAAAGTACAGAGAAAAGTAAAGTGATAAATCAGACAAAGCTCTAGACTTCAAGGAGTTTACAGTACACTGATATCTCTAACAGTAGTCCTGAGGAGGGACGTGAACAAGATGAAACTGCACACAAACCTTCTGTATATCCACTTTTTTACAGACTCTGGTAAGAGTCTACAGCTTTCATCAGATTCTCAAAGGGCTCAGAGAACCAAAAAACGTTAAGAACCGTTCAACTAAAACATAAGCTAGAAAATAAACAGTATAATTGAGAGCTGAAATAAACTGAGAGCTAAAGAGCTAGGAGAAATTCCAGGGAGGAAGAAATAACCTTGGCTAGGGAAATCTAGGAAAGCTTTGTGGAAAAGGCAAAAGAGAGGGTTTGTGGCAAGGGGACTGTGAAGAAAGAGGAGGAAAGAGGATGAAGACAAACTAGATAAAGGACACAGGCTGGGGAAAGGCATGGGAAGCTCAGGGTACACACGGGCATGCAAGATAGTTTGGTTTGGCTGAAGTGCGAAGAGGGTAAGGGTTAGCGACAATCAAGTTGGAAAGATAAATTGAGGCCTTATTGTGGAGGGTCATCCTGAATGCCAGTCTCCAAATACAGAAACCCCAAATTATTCCCTGCACACTGAGAATTTATTAAAGTAATTCAACCACGGTCATTTTTTTACCTAATATAAGAACTGTTATTCAAACTCATGGGTGTCTGTGTTCAAAGTTTTATCTAGTAGGGGGATAGAAACAAAATGGATCATGTTAATTAGACAGTAATTGGATCATGTTAATTAGACAGTAATCAGCATAAGAGTTCTTGAAACCTTGTCACAGAAGAGCCAGATATGTCTAGTCTGAGGAAAAAGAGACATGGGGACGTGACAGCTATTTTTAAACATATAAACGGTTTGTGAGATCAAAAAAATCATCAGATATTTTTCTAGAAATCTCAAGGGTTGGCGCTAGAATCACTGAATGGCAATCATAGGGAAGAAAGACTTTTCTAAAAGATAGTTAAGTCTACACAGACTCCCTTGAAGGTGGTGACTCTCCTGCCCTCACCTCCATAAGGTTGGTATTCATGCAAAAGGCATTTAAGCAAATGGATGGAATATTGACTTAGAGCTGTTCGATAAAGTACAAGATGACCAGTTAAAGTCAAATTTCAGATTGAAAAATGATTTTTTTTTTTTTAAGTAATGAATATCCTAAAAGTCCTCTGGGACAAAGTACTTTCGGTAGTAAGGAGCGGCAAACAGCCAAGTCTCAAATACTGCATGGGACATCCTTACACTAAAAGTTATTCGTTGTTTACCTGAAATCCAAATTTAACTGGGCGCCCGGTATCTTTGTCTGCTAAACCTGGCTACTCTAGATGCTGTAGAAGTGACGGTTCAGACCCATTCCCACCTAAGGGTCTGTGAGGCAAGGGAGCCAGTCAGAAGCTGTTTGGGATGAGATCCGGGGTTGGGGGAAAGCAAGGGAAATAGACAAAGAGGTACAAACTGAGACCAACCTGAATGCAAAACATACACGACTATATGGTCGTTGGGGAGGGGTAAGGATGGTCAAAGGGCAGAGTAGGAAGACAGACAGGCTAGAATCAGAGCACTGAGGCCGCAGGCAAAACAAACAACGGGCAAAGTTCCCGGAGAACTCTAGTTAGGTTCGTCTAGCCTCCTTCTCCCGCAGAAGCAGCCTATTAACTCACATTTTTCGCACACCATCCTTCCGCGACGCTTCCCTTAGCCACAGAAGGAGCAGCAGCTAGAAAACATCAAGAGGACAGCCAGAGAAGGAACCCCCTTCCGGGTTACGAGAACCCACTTCCGGTCCCTCCGCCCTCCGCCCCGCCTATCCTACACCTGGAAAGCCGCGGGAGGAATAAACAGGAGCGGGAAGGCGGGGCTGCTTCCTTTGCCCGCCCCTCCACTTCTGCGATTGGCTGTGCGGCCTTGGGTCTCCGCCCCACAGGGCTGCGCCTGCGCGAGTCTCAGGGCGGAGAGTCGCACCTAATGGTGGGAGGTAGTATCCCCCGTTTCCCTTCCGCGGGCGGGAGAGTTAGGTAAGCTCGGGCGAACGCTCCCTGCTCGCGAGCCTCCCGGGGGTACGAGCAATCCCTGCCAACTGCCCTAGTAGCCGCGAGCCTCTGTGCCCTGGCCCGCCGGCGCCCCCGGCCGCCACTCTTCCGGCGTGTCCCAGCGGCTGCCCTGATGGACCGGCTCTCTTTGGGATCGGACTTTCTGTGTCTGTCCCTCCGTTTCTGCTGGGCTCCATGCCTGTGCTCTTTGATTATGCCTCTCAGCTCGTCCCCTGCTGTCCCCACGCCCGCAGGCTGAGGCTGGGGTAGAGAGTCTCGAGCGGCCCAGTTTGGGGTGGGGCTGCAGGTCCAGGTCCCGCCATTCCCGCGACGGCTCCTCTGGGAGCCGCTCAGAAGGGCCTCCTCTCCCGCGGAATGCCTGTGGACCCGGGCCGGGTCAGACCGCGGATGCCGAGGCCGGGGCCGTCTCGCCGGGCGTCCTCGCGGGCTCGCCAGGGCCTGACCTGCTGGTTGCTCAGGATTCAACAGACATTTAAGTTTGGGTACGCTCACTCTGCTAAGTCCAGATCCGCTGATGTCAATTGGGATTCTGAGGATGGCCCAGAAAAATGTCCAGAGGGGTGTCTGTTGAGACGATGTACTCTGGATCCCCCTCCCCACCCCTCAGTCAGCCAAGGATAGGACCTGTGAAGAACTTTGCCTTTCTCCCTTGCCATTCATTCTCTTCTCCACCCTTTGTGTTTATCTTTACGTCAAAGAGACTGGGTTTTGAAATGGCTTTGGCACTCGGGAGCTTGGAACGTTTTACTTGTTTCCTAACCTGTTAGCCTCTTAGCCTGTTTCCTTATCAGTAAAATATTTGCGTTTGAAGATTGTGGTGTGAATTAAACGAGAGCTGTTAGGATAAGGTCTGGGCTTGCCCTTTGGCGTTAGTGGGCGCCCCCTCTCTGTGTGTGTAAAATATATGCTTTTTTTTTTTCTGGAGTATTCACCAGAATGTGAACTATAACTTTAATAAGGTCCTTAACACTACTCAGTACTATGTATGAGCTCTCTGTTTGGTAATTTATAATTAAATATATATAGAAAATATGTTTTTTGTCTATAGAGAGAAAGTTTTCTTCATTCTTCCATTCGTGCTTTACTTTTGATTGGAATATAGCACTTGTAACAGACATTGCCATTTTGGTATTTTTCTGGCACTGGGAAGCCTTAGTTTAGCATAATGTTCTTTGAACTCTGTTGATTACACCACCCATCATTTGAGTATTCAAGTGTGCACTTGGTGTCGCTTGACATTTGCTAGATGTGAACTACTGTGATGTTGGACAGGGGTCCACAATGGTAAGAGATGCCAACAGTTTAGCCATTCATGGGGTTTTTAGAATGCAGAGGTTATATTTCCAGCTGGGGGAGATCATTAATCCAGGCAGTTTGTTTTCACCTCTGTGATTTTGGCCAAAAAAAGGAAATTGAATTCCTTAATTGGTCGTAGCACATGACCCTGTTGCAGAAATGAGTCACAGGTATTTAAGAAATTAGTAAGTTTGTGTTTTTTAGGCCCCAAGAGCTATTTGTACCATATTAGTCTACATGCACATTTACACATATGCATCTTATTCTGAAACTAATACATTATTGCCCATAGAAAATTGACTTTGGTTCATGGCTTGTTTTTAGACGTTAGAGCATTTAGGATAATGGAAAAAGTCATTATTGCGTATCCTCTTTTCTTAATTTGTTTTTCATTAGATAGCCACTCAAGAAAACACCATGAAAGATACTGATATCAAGAGACTACTGTATACCCATTCTTTATGCATATTTTCAATTATCCTAAGCATCTTCATTCCATCATTCTTCTTGGAGAACTTCTCAATATTGGAAACACACTTGACATGGTTGTGCATCTGTTCTGTTTTTGTAACTGCCGTCAATCTAGTATTATATTTAGTAGTGAAACCAAATGCGTCCTCTAAAAGAAGTTCATTGTCATTCAAGGTAAGGCTTATTTCTTGATAATTGATTTTTAGATGGAGGTAGTGTTTCTTTTAATGGAAGAATATTAGTCAAGTAGTCGTTGGGTTATTTACAGTGAGTAAAGAGAACCTGTTTGTTTGTTTTTTTCTCCCAATCAATAGCCTTATATTTGCTGGAAGGCTGCCCACCACGTTCAATAGATCCTTGCCATGCATTAATTCTGGAATTAGGACGTCTTAAGTGGATGTTATAGTGTTGTGAACCCATATAGTCAAATTTTATATCTAACATACTACGACTTGGGGAATTATTTAGTAGTATACTTTTTTTGGTGCAGTTTTCCTAGAAATTTTGTCCTAAAATGAAAAAAATTATTGTAGTCATTATTTTCTGCAAATATTTCATGTATCACCACATAATAAGGACTGTGTTTGTGTGTTTTGTATCCTAGCACTCTGTTACTGGTAAATATTTTATAAATACTGATTAACAACGTAGCTCAATACATACCACACAACAGGGATGCTTTTTGACTCCAGTGTTGCTTGGGTGGGTGGATTATGGGAGTGATGCTTGCCTTGTAGGCCTTTTTACAGGGCTGTGTTGAGGGCTGTGTGTCTGACTGTGCACAGGACATGTGATCTGACTTCAGGATACCCAAATCCAGAGAACATGGGACTGTGTCACACATTGTGGGAATAAGTTGTGTTTGTAGGTAAAATGGAAGCATTTGCTGTTCTTTAGGCATTCTCTTGAGTCTTTAAATATTCATTTCTTTTTTAGGTAACCAGATTTGTGAAATGCTGTGTCTATTTTCTTATGTCTTGTTTCACCTTTCATGTAATTTTTGTTCTATATGGAGCACCACTAATAGAGTAAGTCTGAAATTTTTATCTTAAGGCAATTATATTTTAAAACACTCGTTTACTAAATGTGCTAATTCTGTGGGTGATTAGACAAAAAACCATGGTGTGTTTAATTAATGGGTCAAGTAAGGATACTGACACATTACCCTTCCTTAGCAGTGTTATTTTTTTAAAAAACAGTGGAATAATTAATCCATTAAATGCTCCTATTACCTAGCCTTCTGTTACCCAATCACATGCGGGGAGGAGGTAGATGAGCAACTGTACTATACCAGTAAATGTGAGGCCTTGGAACCTCTAAGGGAACTTATGTAGTGATATGTATTTAATTATAAGTAACATATCAGTTCTTAGTAAATATGATTCTGAAGTGCTTGAAAAGAGTTTGTTTTCTTAAGAAAAGTCTGTAGGCTCCTATATTTAATTACTCAATAAGCTAATATCTATAGTTTAAAGGTAAAATACAGTTTTATATGTATATATTTGTACATAGTTATATATATATATATATATATATATACACACTAATGTAACGGTTGTTCTTTTCTAGAGAGGGCAGGACAAGACCTTTGTAATGGGAAATGGTAGTTTCTGTTTAATTCATTTTAGAGTAGAATGAATCACTGGAGCAGTGGTCTTCCAAGTGTGGTTCTAAGACCAGCAGCATCAGCATTTTATCAAAATGCAAATTCTTCAGGCCTCACTCAGAAACTCTTGGGGTGGGACCCCACAATCTTCAGTTTATTCAGCTCTCCAAGTGATTCTGATATAAGCTAAAGTTGAACCACTGGTGTGTAAAGAAAGTTCCAGAGACTATTGTAGAAGAAGGTTAATTATCTAGAAATGGGGTTTCTTGCAATGGACAGTCTCAGTGTGCATCATAGGGTATTTAGCACTTCTGAAATCTATCATTAAAGCCAGATATTCGCTAGGTGGTTTTTTATAGCTTGCATTTCAGTAGTAAGATTATTTGTAGTCATCATTGTGGTAGGACTCAGGTTGCCTTTCAAAGTGAAGTATAAGAAAATATTTTTACATTTTTACTTTTTAAAAAATTAATAAGTTTTTTTTCCTAGGTTGGTGTTGGAAACATTTTTATTTGCAGTTACTTTGTCTACTTTTACTACTGTACCTTGTTTGTGTTTGTTGGGACCAAACATCAAAGCGTGGCTAAGAGTTTTCAGTAGAAATGGGTAAGTTTTAATTTTATATTCTAGTGATGTTTGAAATTTTAAAAACTTAATGAGGTATTTTTCTGTTCACACAGCTTGCTCATTGTTCCATGCGTGTTTCTCAGCCCTGTGTGGTTCTCGGAGGTGCCTTAAGTCCTCATTGCAATTGGGGTTTGGGGACAGGGACAATGGTGGTGTGTATCTGAGGGGGATTTAAGCGAGCAGGACTACAGGCACCTCCCTCTAGCAAGATCAGCTCTGCCTTTTGTTTGAAAAAAGGTTTCTGCTACCAAAAGAAAGCTTTGAAAACCACTCCTCGGGGTAATTTGTCACTGTGATAAAATTGCTCCCATACATCTTATAATGTAGAATTAGGGTCCACAATCTAAAAATGTTTAGTGTGACAACTATAATTTCTTGTTTAGCCTCTTTTGTGGTTAAAACAGCTGAATGCAGGCTTTACAGGATTTTATTTCCTTAGCAGTCATACGTATTTTCAGCTCAGCTAAGTTAAAATTTTAGCTTCTTGAAAGCTGTTGAAATGATTTGTGTCAGCAAACGTTGAGTCGTAACTAAGAAAACTAGAAGGTTATTTAGTGCTCATGATTTAGTACTATTTATCACCCAGCAGCAAAAACTTCTTGAGCATTACTCTATGCTCCGTGTTGTGCAAGATCTGTGTGGATTCTGAAGTGTTAGCCATGATTCTCTCCCTGAGGATTTTGCATGTTCAAGGGACAGGAATGAAATGAGTAAACAATATGAGACTAAAATTGTGTAAATCAAACAATAGGTGCTGTAGAACTCAGAAGAGTAGGAGACCACTGAAGCAATGGTGCTGGAGGGGGCATAATTTACAAAGGACTTGGATCAGGAGTATGAGATCTGTGAGACTAAGGGGAAAGGGAAAGACACCTTGTGCTGGGGGATGAATGAAAGCATAGAAGCTGAAATGAATGTGGTATTTTTGTTTGATCTGGAAGGGAACAGCCACAGTAGAGCAGAGGATGCATGCTGGGAGCTAGGCTCCATAAATTACTTTTTCTTTTTGAAAAGAGTACTGTTGGTTCCCCTTCAGAACCACCTTTGGATATTCATAAAGTCTCTAGAAAACAAAAGTATGATAATCATTGAAAGCTTTTTCCCACATTGTTACCGTGGTGTCCAAAATGGAATTATTTCTTTCAGCATTTTAGTTTGAAGAGTTTAAACAGTGAAAACTAGTTGATTTATCCAGCTTTGAATTCAGTTTCTGATAATAGCATTAATGGTATATTTGGGGGAGACACTGTCGTCTGATTCTACAGTTCTACTATTATATGGCATATTCATTCCTAAAAATCTCTGGAATATGCAAAATTGGGCAATAAAAACCATAGAGCCTATGGGAAAGATGGGATTGGGGCATAACACTCAAAAACTTCATCATTAGCACATAGAAAAGATAGGAACTCAATAAAAATGGTAGGACAGTTTTTATACATGTTAAATGGTTAAGGAATATATAAATATTGTAATACACATGGCACTTTTCCTTGGAAAAAACCTGAAATTTGCTTTTGGAAGCAGATGTGGGAAGGGTTACCTGTTGTGAGTTATTATGAAGTGGTAAAGGAGGGGTGTCTGAAATCTGATGGAAAGGTAAGGCCAAATGTGGAGGCTGTGGTTCATACACATGAGGGCAACTACGGCAGCTGGGAGATGGGTTTTTTAAATAGCATTGAGATATAATTCAAATACCGTACACTTCACATGTTTAAAGTGTACAATTCAGTGGTTTTTAGTATATTCACAGATATGTGCAACAATCACTACAGTCAGTGTTAGAACATTTTCATCACCTCAAAAAGGTATGGCCTCCTTCTCCTCCTTCCCCCAGCCCTAAGCAACTGCTAATCTACTCACTGTCTCTGTAGATTTGCCTGTTGTGGACGTTTCGTAAAAATGGAATCAGATAATAGGTGATCTTTTGTGATTGATTTCTTTCTCTTGGCATAATGTTTCCAAGGTTCATCCATGTTATGTGTATCGGTACTTCATTCCTTTTTATGGCTGAATAACATTTCATTATATGGTTGTATACCACATTTTGTTTATCCGTTTCTCAATTGATGGACTTCTGGGTGGTTTTCACTTTCTGCTATTATGAATAAACTGCTATAAACATTTGTGTGCAGGTTTTTGTGTGGATATATGTTTTCATTTCTCTTGGTTATATGCCTAGGAGTGGAATTGCTGGGTTGTAATAACTCCATGTTTAATCTTTTGAGGAACTGCCAGACTATTTTCTAAAGTGGTTGTACCATTTTACATTCCCTCAGTAGTGTATGAGGGCTCCAGTTCCCCCACATCCTGGCCAACAGTTGTTATCTGAGTTTTTATCCTAGTGGGTGTGAAGTGTTATCTCATTGTGTTTTTTATTTGTGTTTTCCTGCCAACAAATGATGTCAAGCATCTTTTCATGTGCCTTTTGGCCATTGCATATCTTCCTTGGAGGAATATCTCTTCAGATTCTTGGTTCGTTTTTTAATTGGGTTGTCTTTTTATTATTAAGTTGTAAGAGTTCTTTATATGTACTTGACAGAAGTCCCTTACCAGATACATCATTTGCAAATATCTTTTCCTTCTTTGTGGGTTGTCCTTTCACTTTCTTGATAGTGCCCTTTGAAGCACAAAAGATTTTAATTTTGATAAAATCCAATTTATCTATTTTTTTGTTGTTGTTGCTTCTGCTTTTAGGGTCATGTCTAAGAATCAATTGCCAAATTCAAGGTCATGAAGATTTATTCCTATGTTTTCCTCGAAGAGTTTTATAATTTTAGCACTTACATTTGGGTCTTTATCTGTTTTGTGTTAGCTTTTGTCTATAGTGTGAGGTAAGGGTCCAACTTCACTGGATAGCATGTGGCTATCCAGTTGTCCCAGCACCGTTTGCTGAAAAGGTTATTTTTTTCCTTTGAGTGATCTTGGCACCCTTGTTGAAAATCAGTTGATCTTAAAGACGTGATTTTATTTTTGGACTCTCAATTCTTGTGCCGTTGACGTATATGTCCATCCTTATGCCAGTACCACACTGTCTTGATTAGCTGGTAGATGTTTAAGGGGTGTGCATGTTTTGTGCATTCCTTGCCTGGTAGGTGCAACTGGATGTATTTTTTGTGTGTTCACTTAATGTTTCTCACAGAAGAAATCATTCATATTGTTCCCTAAAATACAAATCAAATTGGAACAAATTTGAATATTCAAAACAAGCCTTATAGCAGAACTGTGTATATAAATTCCTAATATTTTAAAATTAAAAATAATAAAACTTTAAAACTTAAGGGAAACAGAGAAACTATTCCTAGTTTCTCTTAGTAACTTACATGAATTTAATATGTAAGCATTTTTCTGGGCCTATGTTAACCCTGTTTCTAATTTAAGCCTGAACTATATCTGACAGTAATGCCTGTTAATTTCTGCTGGGTAAAAAAGAAAAATTTCATTTATTATAAAATTTGCCTTCTGAATCTTCTGAGATATGCAGAATAAATCTGTTGTCATCTTTTTTTCATACCTATCAGCATGTTATCCCTTCTCAGAAGGATCTATAACAAAAGTGAAACTAAAAATTATAGGAAGAAGAATACCAAATTCCAGCTAGCAGGCTGACAAAGATCCATTAGTTTGATAATACGTAGTGTAAAGGGTTTGGGTAGCTAAGTGCTAATGGGAATGCAAACTGGTTGAAACTCTATGAAGGGCAGTTTGCTAGTTATAAAAATTACAAATAGTCATCTTTGATCCAATGATCCTGCTTCTGGGATTTTATCTAAAAGATATACTTGCACACCTATAAAATGTTGAATACATAAGATTACTTGTTGAAGCATTGAAAATAGGCTAAATGTCGTTTAATAAAGGATGGATTAAGTTAACTTAATCCGCACTATGGAATACTATGCAGCTGTTTAAAAAAAAAACCAACTCTTTGTTTACTGATACGTTATTAAATGGAAGAAAGAAAAGTGAAGAAATGTGTATAGATGCAACCGTTTCTGTAAAAAGTTGGCCGGGGAGACTAGATATACCTGTATATCTTTGGAAAGATACATAAGAAACTGATAAAATATTGGTTGTCTCTGGAGAGGGGATCTGAGAAGCTAGGAGACAAGGTAAGGAGACTTTCCACTGACTACCCTTTGGTGTCTTTTGAAATGCAGACCGAATTAATGTACTCCCTAGTCAAAATGAAAATTATAATGAGTTGGATTTGGCCAATACTTAACTTACTTTCTGGCTTTTGAAAGTAAGGCCTGTGTTAAGAAGCTGTTAGATTTCTTTGGTCCTACCTAAAGTTCAGTAGACTGCAAAAATTATTCTAAAATTTCCAGCATACAACCAGAGAACAGTTCAGTTCCTAGAGGACTATGGCTAAAAATAGTCAATTTGTAATACAAAACATTTTATTTATACACACAGAGCACGGCATGAAATAGTAATAATGCAATAATATTTTAATAACTTTTAAAGCATTTTCCTATATGTTATAGCATTTAATTCTCACAGTAATCTGCTGCAATACTCCTATTTTCACCATTTTCAAGATGGAGATACTGGAAAGCTGACTGGTTAAGTGATTTGCCCTCTATACCCAGTAAGAGGTAGCGCTGGGACTTGAATCCAGGTCATCTGATGGTATAAAAGTTAGAAGACTCTAGTAATTGAGGATCAGAAAGTAAGTTATTGCCCTGTCTTCATTACTTAGTGGCCAAGTGATCTTAGACAAGCTATTTAACTTCACACATCCTCACATGTACAGTTGTCCCTTGGTATCCACAAGGGATTGGTTCTATGACCCCCTTTTCTCCCTAGATAGCAAAATCTGCTCAAGTCCCTTATATAAAATGGCATCGTATTTGCATATCACCTATGCACATTCCTCCCCATACTTTAAATCATCTCCAGATTACTTATAATACCTAATACAATGTAAATGCTTGTAAATAGTTGTTATACTGTATTGTTTAGGGAATCATGAC